GGGGGAGAGGGGGGGGGAGAGGGGGAGGAGAGGTTCGGCTAGTTAATTAATGGGGGATGCATATACTGAGCAGAGCAGCGATTATTGTAAATATCTTGCAGGGTTGATGAAGTACAAGGTGTTTTTTGTTGAACGTATTTCGGCTCCTGTGTTGGCCTGTTTACAATCTTCTGGGATTTTAGGCGCACGTGATCTGGTGATTGCAGCCTTCATATGGGGAAGCAAAGATGCTTGTTTGTTGTCGCAAAGCTTGCGGTTCTAAAGCCCTAAACCCTAAACCCCAAACCCTAAAACCTAAACCCTAAACCCTAAACCCTGAACCCTAAACCCTAAACGCCCCTAAACGCTCAGCCCATGCAGCCTTGGTGCCCACTACGGCACCGCGCCCTTAGAGCCTTAATTCACGCCTTCCTTTCACCAACCCTTCTCTAAAAACCCGAATCCCCAGTTTAGGGCTTTAAGGGTTTAGGGTTTAGGGTTTAGGATTTAGGGTTTCGGGTTTAGGGTTTAGGGTTTAGGGTTGCTGCAAGCCGAAGCTGCGCGATGACACCCTGAATCCAAAACCCGAGCTGCGCCGAAACATGAGGCTGCCCAGTGCAGTCCGAAGTGCCACATAGGGAGGCGTGAGCATGAGGTACCGGTCCTGGGCGTACGGCTTAGGGTTTAGGGTTTAGATGGGGTTAGATGGGTTTAGAGTTTAGGGTTTGGTTTAGGGCTTAGGGTTTAGGGTTTAGAGTTTAGGGTTTCAAGTTTAGGGTTTAGGGTTTAGGGTTTCGAAAGTCCTCACCTGTGGCAGCATAGTTGCCCGCCACCCCAAACCTTAGTTTTCAAAGTATGCTTCTCCAACTTTCGAAGCATAGGATGCAGTCACCCCTCACCAAGCATTCGTATATCCTCACAGCGCCTAGATTTCCCAGAGACTCTAATTTCCCATAGCGACCGGTCCTAAAATTACAGCAAAGGCCCTTTACACGATTTTGGGAGCATTCCCAGAATTACGGTTATTGGAGTCTTCGGTTGATACAGTACACGGTTTCGGGTTTAGGGTTTAGGGTTTAGGGTCAGCAACCCCATCTGGAACCTGTGTGTACCCAGCTGGGCGTGACAATCTTTCATCTTACGTCGTGCTTGCCATGCCTTCGGGTTTAGAAGGCTTAAGGTTTAGGGCTTGGACTTTGGGTTTCGTAATTTTAGGCTTAAGGCTTAGGGTGTCGTAATTATAAGTTCAGGGTTTCGGCTTAGGGTTTCGTAATTTGGGGCGAAAGGCCCTGGTGATGCATCAGTGTCTGGTATCACACAGCACAGCGGCACCCATGGAACCACGCACAGGATTCTTTTTGAGGTTGAAGCGTCTGCAGTGTAGCGCCACAGGTCGCTGAATTTGTCACAGTATGGGGGATTCGGGAAATCAAAACCGGAAGGCACAAAGCTGAGCACCAAAACCCTCAATCCTAAAGGCGAATCCTAAACCCTACACCCTCTAGTTAAGTAGCCCAGTCAACGACCCAACCTTAGCAGAGCTTCACATTCGGCAATTGCATGTTTGATCGGGTTCCCTTGTCTAAGCCCTAAACCCCTAAACCCGAAGCCCTAAACCCGAAATCCTAATAAACCCGAAACCGCAAACCCTAAACCCTAATTCCCAAAAAACTCAAACCCTAAACCCTAAATAACCTAAACCCACCAGCAACGGCTGGTAAGAACAAAGACTCGAAATCCTAAAGCCCTAAAGCTCTAAAGGCCCTCCACAACTCCAGACTCCAAATCCCCGGTTCTTCGCAGGGAGTGAGGGAATTAGGTGCCTTCTCTCCCCCTTGTAAAGCTCAAGGGGTTCTGCCTTCCCCTTTCCTTGCTAGAACCAATAGGTTGGGGTTTGGGGAGGTCGGCCCTTTAACCACACAGAAAAATATTCCTCAATCTGCTGCTCCTAAACCAAGAAGGAAAATGTAGCAAACCCCAAGGGCCGAACCAGTTCCTCAAAACTGAAAGAAGCTGATCTATGATTCAAACCCGAAAGGCTAAACCCCGAAACCCCCCAAACCCTAAACCCTAAATCCTAATAATCTCTCTCACATATAACTTAAATGTTGGGCAAGGTCATTTTCACTGGGCAAGGTCGTTCGGTCCAAAAAACGACCTTGCCCAGCAAAACATGACCTTGCCCAGTGAAAAAAAGCCTTGTCCAGCAAAAGAAGTGACCTTGTCCAGTAATATTTTTACTCGGCAAGGTCATATTTTTACTGGGCAAGGTCATTTTTTTACCGGGACAGGTCATTTTTTACTGGGCAAGGTCATATTCTTACTGGGCAAGGTCATTTTGTAACTGGGCAAGGTCATTCTTTTTACGGGCAAGGTCATCTGGTCTACGGGGCAATCTCGTTCTTTAAGTGAAATACTGTCTTGATGTTGTGGGATTCTTCGGGCGGGTGGGTATTATTCTGGAATAATCTCTTGACTAGTGAATGCTTGGACTTGAGATGCTGAACATTAAACCCTAAACCCTAAACATCAAACCCTAAACCCTCAACCCCCAACCCTAAATCCTAAACCCTAAACCCTAAACCCAAACCCTAAACCCGTAGTTCATTGAATGTTGGAGCCTCCGGAAACTGCAGGTCCAAATAGGTCCAACTAGAAACGGCTCCAGTTCTCATTTGGTTTAGGGTGTCGGGCTTGGGTTGCCGGAGGGGAGATGTAGCAATACTTTGCTGGACAAGGTTTTTTGGGTTTAGGGTTTAGGGGTATCAGGGGGGTATGAGGGTAGAAGGGTATGAGGTATCCTAGTAGGGGATGCTGGAATTATCCCGCTACGGTAAACCCCTGAAAGATTATGTAAGATACCTGATTTTCTGGCAACAACCACTCTGTAAAACATAAACCCTAAACCCTAAAACCTTGAACCAGAAAGCTACTACTACTACGACGACGACGACGACTACTACTACTACGACTACGACTACAACTACGACGACGACTACGACTACAACTACGACTACGAAAGACGAGCCGAAAGAACGTGAGGGTTTAGGGCCTAAACTCTAAACCCCCCCAAGCCCTAAACCCTAAACCCTAATCCCTAAACCCTAAACCCAAAACCAGCCAAAGCCCCAAGCCATGAACCAAAAAGCCGTCCTAAGCTTTGACCTCCTAAACAAGCCCTAAACTCACCAGACAAACATCCCGAAACCCGAGCTGAGCCCTAGGCCATAATTAAAAAAAACCTAAACCCTAAACCTTAAACCCTAAAAACTGCAAACCCTAAACCCTAAACCCTGCAAACCCCAAACCCTAAACCCTGCAAACCCTAAACCCTAAACCCTAAACCCTAAACCCTAAACCCTGCCACATACCTACCTCCTCAAGAGGGAAGAACGCAGGAGCCCCGGCGGAGAGCCGCCGGATGGCCGCCACGGTGGCACCGAGCTTGGCCTGTGCCTCCTGGTCCTGTGCGTCGACTTTTTGGGCGTTTGGAGTTTAGGGTTTAGGGCTAGGGTTTAGGGTTTGGGGTTTTGGGTTTAGGGTTTGGGGTTTGGGGTTTGGGGTTTGGGGTTTGGGGTTTGGGGTTGAGGGTTTAGGGTCTCCCCTACCCCCCCCTCACCCCCCCCCCCCCCCCCCCCACCCCCCCCCCCCCCCTACCCCCCCCCCTACCCCCCCCCACCACCCCCCGCTTGTGGGCTGTTTGGGTCCTGGTGCCACCCCCTCCCCCCCCCCAACGTTTCACATGCCGAGCAGGGATGATCTTCGAACCATGCGATGAGGAAAGCATCCTTTGAGCCGACAGTGGGTTTAGACCTTTCAACTATGCTCCAGCGGGGTCGGCGGCTTGAGCCGGAGGCTCTTAAACTCAGTGTTTGGGGTTTAGGGTTTGGGGTTTAGGGCTAGGGCTGGGGGTTTGGGGTTTGGGGTTTGGGGTTTAGGGTTCAGGGGTACGCTTTCGCCCTACACCCTACGTGATCCATGTAGGGTTTAGGGTATGGCCCTAAGACCCTGATAAACCCATGGCCCAGTCCCCCCACCAACCCCCAAGGTCTCCCTCTCCCCCTCTATTCCCCAGGGTGGTAGGTGGGGGGGGTTTAGGATTTGGATTTTAGGGCCTGAGGCTTTGCATGGGAGTTTTGGGTTTATGGGTGGGGAGGTGGGGGAGCGTGGCACTGGCGACACGGAACCATACATACACTCACCAACAAATAGATGGACACACACACACACACACATATATATATATATATATATGTATACAGATAATGGTAAACTATACCCTAAACTCCAGACTCGAAAACGATCAACTCAAACTCCCTAACCCCAAACACATATGGTAAGCCAAGCCCCAAACACAGCAATAACAAAACAATCCAACCCCCTAAAAAACAAGAACTTCAAACATCCAAAAAAAGAACCTTCGAATTCTAAAACCAAAGCCAAGAACTAAACAACAAAAGGCCCTACAAAATGCTCAGGCGCCCAGGAGACAACCCTAAACCCTAAACCCTAGACCCTAAACCGTAAACCCTAAAACCTAAACCCTAAACCCTAAACCCTACGGTCCTCCTCCATCTCCTTCGCCAAGGCATCTGCGAACTCCTCCCGCGGAAGCTCTGAGGTTCCGCGGCGGCTCGTTCCGAGGTTTAGGGTTTAGGGTTTAGGGTCTAGGGTTTAGGGTTTAGGGTTTAGGGTTTAGGGTTTAGGGTTTAGGGTTGAGGGTTTAGGGTTTAGGGTTTAGGGTTTAGTGTTTAGGGTTTAGGGTTTAGGGTTAAGGGTGTAGGGTAACCCTAAACCCTAAACCCTAAACCATGAACCCTGAACCCTAAAGGCCCCAGCTTATGGAGCTCGAAAAACCCCCCGCTCTCCTGAAAGTCGCAGTCCACGAAGACAGGTCGTGCCAGTCCCGGCCTTGGAGCTTCCTAAAGAGCCCGATATGCTTAAATGAGGAGTGAATGGGCTCAGGGTCTAGGGTTTAGGGTTTAGGGTTTAGGGTTTAGGGTTTAGGGTTTAGGGTTTCGGGTTAGGGTTTAGGGTTTAGGGTCTAGGGTCTAGGGTCTAGGGTCTAGGGTCTAGGGTCTAGGGTCTAGGGTCTAGGGTCTAGGGTCTAGGGTCTAGAGTCTAGGGTCTAGGGTCTAGGGTTCAGGGTTTAGGGTTTAGGGAAGTACACAGTACGTAGGCGATCACCCAAAAGAAAAAAATGGCCGAACAAAGAGAATAGGTAAATGAATCTCGGGCGCTGGTCAACCTATCTCCAAACCCTAAACCCAAAACCCTAACCCCTAAACCCCGCAAACCCCTTAACCTCAAACCCTGACTCCAAACCCCGTAAACCCCTAAAGTTTTGAACCCGAAACCCTAAATCCTAAACCCAAAGCTCCGGGAGGGAGGTTCATGGGGGCTAGTTCCTAAGGGGAGTAGCGTGGAGTGCTAGGGAAGCTTGGGGTACATAACACCCTAGAAACCCTAAACCCTCAACCCCATAATCCTGAGAACCCCTCCGGAGGTTCCGCTTCACGGGAACTGTGGTCCAGTTGATGTCCTGGGGTGGCTGGGTGCTCGCGGAAGTTCGCACGTCGCCTGTGGGGCTTCAAAGGGCCCAGAGAGGGCTAAAAGAAGGTTCTGAGAGCCATTCGGGCCTTTCGGGCCTTTAGGGCCTTTAGGGCCTTTAGGGCCTTTAGGGCCTCTAGGGTTTAGGGTTTAGGGTTAAAGGCTCCTAAGCCCTTAACCCAGAGTCCGAAACCAGTCATTTACGGTTGCAGATCCACACATACGAAGTGCCTGCAGGATCCGGATGAACGTCTCTTGCTAAAGGTCCATAGGCAGCAGCATCGTAAAAGTCGCCGGGAGTAGAATTTGGGGATTACGGACCTGGGCTATCTATGAGCAACAGAAACCCAAACCCAGACGCACTTGCTCAGGAAACTGAAGCCCCAAACCTCAAAAGCCCTAGTCCTAAACCCTAAAACCCTAAACTTAATCCCTGTTCCCCTAGGAAGAAAAAAGGATCCTTTTTATTCATACATAAGAAAGCCCATAACCCAAAAAGTAAAAAGGATCCCTAACACTGATCGAGTAAACACCCCGGAACTCTGCGCCGTCCTGCATCCGCAGCGCGACCTCCTGCCACTCCCTGGCCACGATGGCCTTCATGCCCTCGGCGAAACCTGCAGTCAACCCTGCTTGGGTTAAGGTTTAGGGTTTAGGGTTTAGGGTTTAGGGTTTAGGGTTTAGGGTTTAGGGTTTAGGGTTTAGGGTTTAGGGTTTAGGATTTAGGGTTTAGGGTCTAGGGTTTAGGGGAGCCCAAGAAGAGCCCCCAAGTACTCCCTACATGTCGTGTGGTGAACCCTTTAAACCCTAAACCTTAAACCACAAACTCTAGACCTTAAACCACCCTAAACCACTCTTAACCCACTCAACCACCCCTATGCCACCCTAAACCCTAAACCCTACAAGTTATGCAGAAGTTCTGAAAACCTCGAGGCCGGACGAAGGTCCATGGGTACTTCTTAATTAGTAGGGTTATTTGTAGCCGAAGAAAGGTTTTCCTCAGCTATAGTGATAGTTACGCTACTTATGCCCCCACTTATAACGACCCATGAACCTCCAACCCCCCCAACCAAAAAAGCTAAACCCCGCCCCACACCAAGCCTTAAACACGTCCAGGGCTTAGGATCTGTAGCATACAGGGGTTTAGGCTAAAGAGCCCCAACCCCCCCACCCACCCACCCACCCAACCTCTCAAACCTCAAACCCTCAAACCCTCAAGACCCCCTCAAACCCTGAAACCCTCACACCCTCAAATCCTGAAACCCTGAAACCCTAAACCCTCAAACCCTGAAACCTTCAAACCCTGAAACCCTCAAACCTGAAACCCTCAAACCCTAAACCCCCAAACCCTCAAACCCTAAACCCTAAACCCTAAACGCCCAAACCCTAAACCCTCAAACCCTAAACCCTAAACCCCAAACCCCAAAGCCCTAAACCCTAAACCCTAAACCCTCAAACCCTAAACCCTAAACCCTCAAACCCTAAACCCCAAACCCTAAACCCTAAACCCTAAACCCCCAAACCCTAAACCCTAAACCCCAAACCCTAAACCCCAAAGCCCAAACCCTAAACCCTAGTCTTCTGGCCTTGCATCACGGCAGGCGCCACGCGGTCCATGAGGCCGAAGTCCAGGAACGCGATGCCTTTGGGGGGTTTAGGGTTTAGGGTTTAGGGGGTTTAGGGGGTTTAGGGGTTTTAGGGGGTTATATAAGGGGGTTTAGGGGGTTAAGGGGGTTTAGGGGGTTTAGGGGGGTTTAGGGGATTTAGGGTGCTTAAAGGGTTTATATAGGGTTCATCTAGGGTTTATATTGCGGTTTATACCAGGCTTATATAGGGTCAAAATAGGGTCCATATAGGGCGTAGACAGGGTTTACGAAGGGTTTAAAAAAGCGTTTTCTACAGGGTTGCTTATAAGGTCTATCTCGTTTATACAGGGTTTGTTTGGGTTTATATAGGGTATCCATAGGGTTTATAGGGTTTCTTGGGCTCTGAGTAGTTGAGTCGATGAGTTTCGGTGAGTGGAGGATGTGGAGGCAGGGCACCTATACCCTAAACACGACCTGCGACTCCCAGCCAAAAAGTTAGTAGGCTACCACCCGCCTGGTCCCTGAAACAATAGGCGAATAGAGCCCCAGCTAAACTCTAAACCCTAGACCCTAAAACCTAAACCCCAAACCCCAAACCCTAAACCCTAAACCCTTATCCGAAGCCCAGCGGCCGCGAGGTTCCGGGCTCAGGGGAAAGAAACTTTGCTTAAAGGGTCCTCAAGGGTGGGGGGTTTCAAGGGGGGTCAACCCAAGGTTCCCTAAGGGTGTAGGGTTTACGGTTTAGGGTTTAGGGTTTAGGGTTTAGGGTTTAGGGTTTAGGGTTTAGGGTTTTGGGTTTTGGGTTTATATGGGTTTTTGTTCTCTCCTATTGTTTCCTAGCCCATCCCTAAAGGACCCCCAAAAAGTTGCCCGAACTCGCTGCAGCCAGGCAGCGGCCGTCGTGCGTGTAGAGCAGATTTCCCTGGAAGGGTTTAGGGTTTAGGGTTTATAGGGTTAAGGGTTTATAGGATTTAGGGTTTCGGGTTTGGGGCTCAGGGTTTACAGGGTTAGGGTGTAGGGCTTCGGGCCCCTAAAACCCTGAGCCCTGGACCCGAAGCGCCACGAACGCCCCGGCCTCGTGTGGATCTGCGTGCACGAAGCCGGTGACCAAGAGTTGCACGAGACAGGCCTGCGAGGGATCATTTTTTAGGGTTAAGGGTTAAGGGTGTAGGGTTTAGGGTGTAAGGGTTAAAGGTTAAGGGTTTAGGCTTTACGGTTCCCATAATTGCAAAAATCTGACCAAAATCAGCCCTCAACCCTAAACCCCAAAATCAACCCCTAAACCCTAAGCCCTAAACCCTAAACCCTAAACCCTCAACCCTAACCCCCTCAGCCCAAAGGAAGGAAGCGGCCTCTACGGCCAGGCGCACGGCCCGGCGGCGAAGCGGCCGGGGGAGGGAGGCCAGCGGGCGGCCATCGACCTCTTAGCTTGGCTGCTCTTGGCAGGGTAGCTATAATTTAGTTTTTAGCTGCCTTCTTAAGAAAGCCAATAAACCCAAAAAGGCTAAAGATATAAAGTTACAGTAAAGCACCACAAAGTTAGTAGACGGTTTTACTTGGAGGTTCATGGGTAATTGTAAGTAGGGTTTGAGTTAAGGGTTTAGGGTTTAGGGTTGTAAGTTCTTTGGCGGTTATGGGTTTAGGGTTTAGGGTTGTGCTTATAACCCACTTAAACCGCATTAGGGCATATATGGGGCATATAAGTTGGTTATAGGTACAGATATAATTGGGTTAAGAAGTACCATGAACCCGTTTGTGCACAATGGTACTTTGAGGTTGGGACCAAAAAGAATCCGTGTTCTGAGGCAACGTCGCAGAAGGTGACGACTCGGAAGCTATCGCTCTGGCCTCATCGGAGTTTTCCGGCCTTGCAGGCACTTGGCAAGAGAGTCGCGAGAGTGACGTTCCGCATCGCTGCCGGATGCTGCGTCTGCGTGTCTACCCCAGTACTCTTCGCATCTCTCGACTGAGACCAAACTTGCAACACCACGTCAAGACTGTAACTTTGAGGCTGTGGCTCGTAGTAGTGGACGGTTGTAGGCTTTAAGGATTTGAGGGCTTATGGTGTTTTTGGAGTAAAGAGTTTTAGGGTTTAAGGGTTCAGGGCTTTAGGCTTGTGGGGTTAAGGGTTCGATTTGTTTCGGGATCTCTCAACTCAAACAACCCTCTAAACCCTGAAGACCTGAACAACCCAAACCCTGCGTCCGAAGACCTCTAGAAACCCTAAACCCTAAACCCTAAACCCTAAACCCTAAACCCTAAATTCTAAAAGCTTCATGCCCTAGGACCCCTAAAGCTTTTATATCCCTCTACCTAAGCATCACCTTAACCCTAGAAGCCGGAAGGGTCAGGCAGCAGCTGAAGCTACCACACTTCGCACACCCTTAACCCTAAACCCTAGCCCCCTAAACCCCCAAAGAACCTGAACCCTGTTCACCCCCCGAACCTTCCACCCTCTGATGATCATTACATCTTTCTAGGTAGCATTTGCCCTAACCCCTAAACCCCAAGCCCCAAACCCTAAACCCTAAACCCCAAACCCAAAACCCCAAACCCTAAACCCCAAACCCCAAACCCTAAACCCCAAACCCCAAGCCCCAAACCCCAAACCCCAAACCCTAAACCCCAAACCCCAGCTCCTAAACCCTAAACCCCAAATCCCAAACCCCTGCACTTAGAGCTTCGGGCCCTAAACCCTCAAACCCCACGATCGGGCTCCCGGCCCATTCCGTGCTCAAGACACGCGCTTTGCCCTGCAGGGCTCGAAACAAGGTGGGCGCCGTAGGATGCATAGGGTTTAGGGTTTAGGGTTTAGGGTGTCGGCTTTAGGTTTTAGGGTTTAGGGTCGTTAGGGTCGTTAGGGTTTCTTACGGCGTTTCGGGTTTTTGGGGCTAAAAGGCTGGGGCTTCGGTTTTTCCTTTCCTCACCATCAGAGCTCTGGGCCTAACCCACCCAAAAAAAGTCTCTTATCCAGGTTATACTAGACCCAGGAGCAATCTAAATGAAGGGGATTAAAGAGGAACCTACACCCTAAAAAAGGGAATAAGGGCCCTGTCTGGGTCCTAGTCTGTGAATGAAAGGGGCACCTTGACTTTGTGGGAACGGCATATGTAAAACCACCTGAGGTCTAACAATGTCCGGAAAGACTGAGGGGCCAATTTAGGGTTTAGAGTCTAGGGTTCAGTGAACCGTAGGCAGTACATCCTAAACCCTCACTCCGATACAAGAAAGTCGGAGTCAGTACTCAAATCTCGACAAGGCCCCGAAGAATGAAACCGACTGGGCCCAGCTACCCTCAGAAAACTCAACAGCCTTGTACTAGTACAGTGTCCGAAGAGCATTGGGTATTGGGCTGGGCATTGGGCTGGTCATAGGCGGAGCAAGATGGGGGTCACGGGCAGTTGCTTGGGCATTGCCCTCCCCACCAGAAGCTGTCCATCATGTCTCGCCCCTAAACCCTAAACCCCAAAACCGTGCAGCATGAGCAGGCCACCGCAGGATCTTGGCCCGGGATTCCTTTTTCAACCAGAGTGCGCATAGCCCAATCCTACTGCAGCTTGGCACTTAAAACCCTCTCAGGAATAATCCTCAATAGGATTCTCTGTTTAAGCCCAGTGAGAGCAAAAAGGATATCTCCAGGGCCCTAAACCCCCTAAACCCAAACCCTAAACCCAAACCCTAAACCCCAAACCCTAACCGTCTACAAAGCACTAAACTACCCAACACCCCTCAACCCTGAAGCCTATTTTAAACCCTCAACCACCTAGATCCTAACCTCGGCTCCACCTCAGGCCCGGTGTACTCGGGCACGAAGCGCGGCGCGGTGACGAAACCCAGGAATCTGGGCAGGGATGTTTCGGGTGTTAGGGTTAAGGGTTTAGGGTTTAGGGTTTAGGGTTTAGGGTTGAGGGTTGAGGGTTGAGGGTTGAGGGTTGAGGGTTGAGGGTGTTTGGGGTTTAGGGTTGAGGGTTTAGGGTGTTTGGGGTTGCTGCGGTCCAGGGTTTATGTGGCCCTAAACCCTAAACCCAAAACCCTAAACCCTAAACCCTAAACCCTGAACCACTTCTTTTCGGAGGGGGCTGGGCATGGTACTTGAAACTACCCCATGAACCTCCAAGTGTAGACGCCAAGACCCGACCCGAATCGCGCGCCAGGCCTGTGTCTCTCCACGAACTCCTCTGCAAAGCTTCGGTTTAGGGTTTCGGGTTTAGAGTTTTAAACCCCAAACCCTAAACCCCTAAACCCCTGAACCCCCAAACCCTAAACCCTAAACCCCGAAGCCTAAACCCCAAACCCTAAACCGTAAACCCTTTAGGGCCTAGTGAGGTTGAGGGATCTTTAGGGTTTAGGGTTTAGGGTTTAGAGTTTAGGGTTTAGGGTTTAGGGTTTAGGGTTTAGGATTTAGGGTTTAGGGTTTAGGGATGTTTAGTCTTGGGCTGCCAGCTGCGGCTGGCCAACCACAGGGGCGCGCGGGCAAGCCACTCCTCAAGCGGCTAAACCCTAAACCCTAAACCCTAAACCCTAAACCCTAAACCCTAAACCCTAAACCCTAAACCAAAAACCCTAACCCTAAACCCTAAACCCTAAACCCTAAACCCTAAACCCTAAACCCTAAACCCTAAACCCTAAACCCTAAACCCTAAACCCTAAACCTTGAAGCGAAGCTTCTGGTACTCGGCTGAAACCAGACTTCAATTCTTCCAAATGCGAAGACGTCAGGTACTGGCACAAGGCTAGTGAGCCCTGCAGGCACAAACAGCAGCTTGAGCTTCACAGCCCAAGCCGCTGCCATGCATGCGGAGGTCAGATGGCATGATGCGCAGTCCAGCAGCAATACTGGATGGGCAAATGTTTGAAAATGATTCCAAGGATTTGCCCGGAGCTCTGATGAGGCTCTTCATGGTTGCACTGGTATTCCACCCTGTTCTTTGTCGTAGAATATGCGGGTAGTTACATGGTCCCTTAGTATGGACCCTACCCTTGAAAGGGGGCCCCTTGTCTACCCCTTACATACCCTATACAATCCAAGGGCCCATACATCAGAACCCTTTCAAGGAGGTAATAAGGGCCCATGTAACTACCCTTACAGCAAACTCCGAAAAAGTTGGAACATCCTTATCCCCGTACCCCAAAAGGTATAGTAAAGGGAATCCCAGCTCTAATCATCCTTAAACCATGTTCCAACTTTCTGGAGCTTTCTGTAGAACCCTAAACCCTAAACCCTAAACCCGAGACCCTAAACCCTAAACCCTAAACCCTAAACCCCAAACCCTAAACCCTAAACCCTAAACCCTAAACCCTAAACCCTAAACTTACATAAAGGGATGTCTAGGGTTTTAGGGCCTAGGGACGCTTCGCCCGGTCAGCAACAGCGGGATTCAAGCGAACCCTAATCCGTAAAGGCCCGGTAAGCCCCCCAGGGCTCGTTTGGCTTGAATGTCCTGGACATTCCGCGCTTCGTTGTGGTAGTCAAGCTCCAAGAAGACGCCGCTGGCCACCTCAAAGTGTCTAGAGCGGTACCACGAACCCTGAACCCCAAACCCATAACCCTCATAAGCCTAGAGCCCTTCAGACCCTTAAGCTCCAGAACCTAAAGCCCTAAACCATTCAATCCAAAAAGCCCTCAGTCAAACAAAGCCCAGTAAAGACCCCAAACGTGGATCAGCTACATTGAGGCCTCGGCCTCCCTCCCCCCCCCCCCCCCCCTCCCCCCCCCCCCCTCCCCCCCCCCTCCCTCCCCCCCCCCCCCCCCCCCTCCCCCCTCCCCCCCCCCCCCAAAAAAAATGCATATGTGTGTATATATATATATAGAAAAATATCCATACATATATATATATACACATATATATGTATGTATATATATACACATATATGGATATAATTCTCGTTCTAGGCATCCCAAAAAGGGGTACTCCGTGTAGTCGGGCCTGGTCGGCGAGGATGGTAAAGTCGTTGTACGCCGCCCGGACCGCTCGGTACATCTTTGTCAGGACAAACCTTGAAGGCTTAGGGCTTGGAAGTTTAGGGTTTAGGGTTTAGGGTTTAGGGTTTAGGGTTTAGGGCTTAGGGTTTAGGGCTTAGGGTTTAGGGTTTAGGGTTTAGTTCGGGTTTACTCGGGGCTCCATTTGCCTATACATGTCTGGCGGCTATGCCCTTTTTTGCAGGGTGCCAAGACCTACGAACTTGTAGACCCTGGGAGCTTCGGGTTTAGTACTCTTTGGTTTAGGAAAACCTGAATCCTTGATGGTTTAGAGTTTACTGCAGGGTTTACTAATTTGGGTAGTCCTCAAATTTAGGGTCCCTCGTTGGGTCGGTCTTTGGTCTTGGATGTTGAGGCTTTTGATTTAGGGTTTAGGGTTTAGGGTTTAGGGTTTAGGGTTTAGGGTTTAGGGTTTAAACGGTTTAGGGTTAGGGGCACGCCTACGCCCTAAAGCCCTACGCCCTAAACCCAAAGTGGTTTGGAGCTCAGGGTGTGAGGGTTTCGAAGCTTCAGGTCTGCACCGAACCCCAAACACACGCGAATCTGTAAACAGCTAAACCGGTGACCCTAAACCACCTCAGCCATAAATCTCCAAAGGACGAAAGCCCTCAAAACCGACACGCCGACAACCCTCCACCAAAACAATTCAAAACACTCAACAACATGAGCAATACCCCAACCCCCTAACCCTACCCCCGAACCCTAAAAACCACAAACCCTAAACCCTAAACCCTGAACCCTACACCCTACACCCTAAACCCCAAACCCAAACCCCAAACCCCAAACCCCAAACCACAAACCCCAAACCCTAAACCCTAAACCTGCGCCGAGCGGCATGCAGGCCCAGTCCAGGGCCACAGACCGGGCGGCGCCGGGGCGGCGCACCTCGGGAGCAAAGGTTGGGCGTTTAGGGTTTAGGGTTTAGGGTTTAGGGTTTAGGGTTTAGGGTTTAGGGTTTGGGGTTTAGGGTTTAGGGTTTAGGGTTTAGGGTTTAGGGTTTAGGGTTTAGGGTTTAGGGTTTAGGGTTTAGGGTTTAGGGTTTAGGGTTTAGGGTTTAGGGTTTAGGGTTTAGGGTTTAGGGTTTAGGGTTTAGGGTTTAGGGTTTAGGGTTTAGGGTTTAGGGTTTAGGGTTTAGGGTTTAGGGTTTAGGGTTTAGGGTTTAGGGTTTAGCGTGTAGGGTTTAAGGTTCAGGGTTTAGGGTTTGGGTTTTGCGGTAGCGTATAGGGTTTAGGGTCTAAGGTTGGGGAGAATGACCCTACTTTCAGCCCCTGTTGCCAGTCCATGAACCTTTTTGTGGTATGAAACCATAGACCCTCAACCTCTCTTTCTCTGGTCCCCCACCTTGAAGGTGATTCGGGTTTGGGGTTTGGGGTTTAGGGTTTGGGGTTTAGGGATTGGGGTTTAGGGTTTGGGGTTTAGGGATTGGGGTTTAGGGTTTGGGGTTTAGGGTTTGGGGTTTAGGGTTTGGGGTTTAGGGCTTATCCCCCTCCCCATCTCCGAGCCCCAAGCCTGTAAACCCTTAGACCGCTGGGGCTTCGGGGTTCGGGGTTTAGGGGTTGGGCTTTCGGGGTTTAGAGGTTTAGGGGACCCTAAACCCTAAACCCTAAACCCTAAACCCTAAACCCTAAACTCTTGAACCTCCACCCTTAACCCTTTAAGGTTTAGGGTTTGGGGCCCCCGGCTGCACTAAACCAGACAAGAGGCTTTCACCGCCAGCCACACCCCGTCGTGCGTTTTTGCCTTGTAGACCTGGCTGCATGGAGGGGCGCAGAAGCAAGGGGTATCCCTACACCCTAAACCCGAAACCCTAAACCCTAAACCCTAAACCCTTACACAACAGGGGCCCCAACGGCCTGCGCCATCTCGGCCAGGTTTAGAGTTTAAGGTTTAGGGTTTAGGGCGTGTCGTCCATTTGCTGCCTCCAGAAATCCATCGCCAAGGCGAAAGTGCCCACAATTCACGCATAGAGCTCATGCAATCCTTGACCACGGTGTCTTCTCGGACATGAGCCGGTCGAGCCGGTCCTTCTGTTGCGGGTCTGTAAGGAGAACCAGCAAGAGCCACCGCACTGACCTTCTTCCCTGGGGTGTACAGTCTGTGAAGGCCCTCGAGCCCAATCTTTGAGATTCGGTGATCATTTCTCGAGACCGCAACATGGAACATCTGGAGATCTTCAGCGAGTGGGCAGAGATCCTCTGTCAGGAAGGCCCGGTTGAAAGGCTTGAGTGCATACCCGAAACCCCAAATTCCAAACCCTAATCCCTAAACCCTATACCCCATTATTCACGTGTGGTCTTGGCTCAAGCATGCTGGAGCATCTTGTCCAGAAGACCTGCAGGCCCTTATGGCTTATCTTTATTGCTAGCTTTCAAGTTTTAAACTAATATAAAATCAAACCGAAACGACTAGACCTAGGAATAAAAGGGTGCCCTTTTTGGTTTTAAGGAGATTATAAGGCCCTAAACCCTAAACCCTAACGACACCGACTAGGCCAACACCACCCTACATGCTGTTGAGCACCACCAGGCTTCCGAAGGGTTCTGGTCTGGAGAAGTGGGTGGGTGGGGGGGGTTGCTAACATAACTTACTGTTGGATAGTAGGGAATGAGGGAATGAGGTACCCTATATCCCTTATATATATATACATATACCCGTTAAGGGGTACCTCATTCCCTCATTCCCTACTAACCAACCGTAAGATAAGCCTTACCCGGGGGGGATATTTACAAGAGGCTCAATTTGTTTTCATACCACCTGTTTCAAGTTCTAGGGTGTGGGAACTTAGGACCAGGAAGGGAGAGCAGAGAACCAGTGGCGATCATATATATATATATATATATAAAACCTGAAGAACCTAAAGTCCTAAAGCCTCCAAAAAAAACAAAAAGGAAAAGACTTGAACTTCAACCTAAGGTAAAATCAGGTTTAGGCTTTAGGGTTTTCATGGGCTTCCCTACTACACTCTATACCACCCCCCTCTAAGTCTCCCCTCAAATAACCCTAATTCGGCTCAAGCACCCCTAAATGGCCTCAAGTTCATGAGGGGGGAAGTATGGGATTGCCTTGGGTTTAGGGGGACCCCCAAAACCCCCCTTAGCCCCCAAACTGCGCCTGTCCCAGGCTGGCCGCTGCCACGGGATCCGGGGAGAAGAATGCGAAGAGGGCTCGCTGCGTCTTGGCCGCAGCTTTCGGGTTGAGGGCGTTAGTGGGGCTCTGCCCTAAACCCTAAACCTAAACCCTAAACCCTAAGCCCTGAACCCTAAACCCTGAACCCTAAGCCCCAAGCCCAAGCCCTAAGCCCTAAGCCCTAAGCCCTAAGCCCTAAGCCCCAAGCCCTAAGCCCTAAGCCCTAAACCTAAACCTAAACTTAAACCCTAAACCTTAGAGGTTCAGCAGGTCTGGGGTTGGGGGCTCTAGGTGTCCAGAGGATTTGGAGGCTTGGAGATCACAGCGCTTGGGGGCTACTTGTGAAAACAAGGAGGTTAGGGTTTTGGGGTTTGGGTTTAGGTTCACTAGTCGAGCCTGTTCATCGTGTGATAGAGAAGTACCCACCCACCCAGAGAATCCCACATCGTTGAGACAATATACAATTAGCATTTTTCAGCTGCATCTTAAACCCTGCGCCTTGAGCCTCAAATTATACCCCCCAAACCCGGCCTGAACATTCGAAGCCGGCGTGAAGTGAAGGGCTACCCTCAAACCTGGGGGTTGGGGGGGGGGGGGGGGTGTGACGGGCTGCCTGCCCACGAAGCTTTGTGCCTATGCCCACGAAGCTTTGTGCCTAAATGGGTTGCGAGGCACAGATTTTAGGCACAAACTTTCGTGGGCACAGGAACAAACCTTCGTGGGCATAGGCACAAACCTTCGTGGGCATAGGCACGCCGTAAAGTTCCCGCACTAAGGCTACAACTAGAGTCATCCTAAATTGCAACCCTGCTTATACCTACAAAAGAACAACGAAGGATCTGAAGCGCATACTAAACTTGTAACTGTTGCATCTGAACCCAAACCTAAACCCTAAACCCTAAACCCTATACCCGAAACCCTAAACCCTAAACCCTAAACCCTAAACCTAGACCCTAAACCCTAAACCCTAAACCCTAAACCCATCCAGGGGTCTAGGTTTTCGGGACATCGCCTCATCGCACTGCTCTGGGCAAAGCTCCGGGGAGAGAGGGCCGCTGTGGTTGAGGTCCTTCCGAGTCATCGTGGCTTGGGGTTTAGAGTTTGGGGTTTAGGGTTTAGGGTTTAGGGGTTTAGGGGTTTAGGGGTTTAGGGGTTTAGGGGTTTAGGGGTTTAGGGGTTTAGGGGTTTAGGGGTTTAGGGGTTTAGGGGTTTAGGGGTTTAGGGGTGTAGGGGTTTAGGGGTTTAGGGGTTTAGGGGTTTAGGGGTTTAGGGGTTTAGGGGTTTAGGGGTTTAGGGGTTTAGGGGTTTAGGGGTTTAGGGGTTTAGGGGTTTAGGGGTTTAGGGGTTTAGGGGTTTAGGGTTTGGGGGATATAGGGCTATGATCATACTGCTAGAGAGCTCTGGCCCCTACATTCCCTGACGGCTGTTTGAAAACGGCCCGCGAAGTCCCCAAAGGCCCTTGGCCCCAGAGGGCAAAGCCCCCTACAAGCCCTAGGTCAGGGTTTAGGGTTTCGTGGTTTAGGGTTTCGGGTTGACCTAGGTGCTCACCACTCTCCGCAAGCCCTTATTCGCTAGGCTTTAGGGTCAGGGTACAGGGTTTAGGATTTTGGGGGTTTAGGGTTCGAAGCTTAAGGGGTTTAATATTTTGGGGTCTGTATTCTTGCGAGCCCCACAAATATGGCAAGGCGCTCCTAGTGGTTTTGGCTCGGCCGAGACATGTTCAGTAGCCCACGCAGCTAGGTCGGCGTGGTGCGTGACAAGTGCCACCACGCTAGCAGTCGACGTCGCCGGATTGCTCTGCTCCCCTGGTCCCTGAGTGCTCACAGGGTTTAGGGTTTAGGGTTAAGGGTTTAGGGTTTAGGGTTTAGGGCCTGACTCCACTCAGACCGGACGCGGGGGGGTCCCGAAGGGGCGGGCTGCTGGGCTTGAAGCGCGTTCAGGGTCCTGGGTGGGGTCTTTGGGTAGCACCGGTGGCGACGAGAGATGTGCAGGAGGGGCCCGATACTGAAACTGCTGGATGGAAGACGAGGGGCCTGAATAATTAGAATATGGTTTTTGGGGGGTTATAAGAGTAGCATTACAAAGGGACCATCAGGGAATGTTGTTAGTAATTATTCCGACCCCTAATTGTAGTAAATCCGCTGCGGATACTGACTGATTTTTCTCGAACCGGGTCAGCATCACCACGAGGTCATTGGCAAACTTCTCAACCTCCACCTATCTGTCCGTGGGCCCCTTCGAGCTGGTCCTTGATGGCGTCCAGGTGGAGTAACCCTAAACCCTCAACCCCAAACCCCAAACCCTGAACCCTAAACCCTGAACCGAACCCGGACCCTAAACCCAAAACCCTAAACCCTGAACCCTAAATCCTAAACCCTAAACCCTAAACCCTAAACCCTAACCCCTAAACCCTAAACCCTAAACCCAAACCTAACAGGTTCGGGTGGCAGAGCCACCTCCTGCGGCACAGGGTGGGATACTGCGTCAAGCGGGCCCTCAACAAAGAGGCTTCAGCAGCTACTCGCTCTAGCATGAGGCGTTCCACCTTGCCATGTCAAAAGCCTTCTTCATTCCTATTCGCACCTGAACAACCCCTAAACCCTAAACCCTTTGGAACTTAGGGTTTAGGGTTTAGGGTCTTTAGGGTTTTTAGGGTTTAAGGTTTAGGGTTTTTTGGGGGGTACTCAAGAGTCCTCCATGATCGTTCGGTAGGCGTACCTGTTGTCGAAAGGCTTGGCATCCACCTGGGCCGTGTCTCTCCACACGACAGCCCTTTTGGGAGCTTCGGAGTTAAGGGTTTAGGTTTGGGATGTTTCCCTTATACTCACAGCTCCTCAATAGGGATTATAGTACCGTACCCCCTATTGTAATCCCTATTAGGGAACATCCCAATATAGGGTTTAGGGTTGAGGGATCCATATTGGATTGAAACCCTAAGACCACCCCAGACGGGTTGGTTCAGAGGTTGAAGGACGGACCTGGCACCTCAAACCCTAAACCCCCTTGATTGTCAGCTCATCAAGTGGACCCGCGCTACCCAGCTTGGAAAAAGACACCACCAATGTCCACCAAGGTGTGCAACAAGAAGATTCTCAAGGCATGGCCAACTCGGACACCGCCTGCCTGACTACCATCGGGGTTGAGGGGTTGAACTTCGAACCACACCGAAACCAAAAAAGCAAAAGACATAACCCAAGGATCAACAACACAGAAACACCCAAGTCATCCCAAATCATAAAGCAAAGCCCCCAACCCTACAGCCGAAACCCAAACCTAAATCAAAAAAACAAACAGACACGAAACCCTTAACTCCATAGCTTAACCCTCAACGCCAAACCCGAAATCCCAAACCCCAAACTCCTAGACCCCGAAACCTAAAACCTCAACCCTAATGCCCCCACACCCCCTGAACCTTGACCCCGAGCCCCGAAAATCTGTGTAAAAACATGAACCCCGGCTGCATCCACGAGTAGGCCTCAAAAGCCTATAAAAACCCAAACCTGAAAAGCCACTTCTCTCGAAAAGCCACTTGTTGTGAAAAGCAACTTTTGTCGGATTTTTCCCGCCAACCCAGAAGACGCACCGCGTGACAGCTTAGCAAGTCCCAAACCCCTAATCCACAAACCCAACCTCCAACCCCAACCCCCAAACTCCAAACCCTAAACGCCAAACCCTAAACCCTAAACCCTGAACCCTGAACCCACAACCCTAAACCCTAAACCCTAAACCCCAAACCCCAAACCACAAACCCTAAACCCTAAACCCACAACCCTAAACCCACAACCCTAAACCCTAAACCCTAAACCCCAAACCCTAAACCCTAAACCCTAAACCCTAAACCCTAAACCCTAAACCCTAAACCCTAAGCCCAGCCTGCAGGCTCTTCAACTCCGCGGCCGCTTCTTCGCCGACCACGTCGGGGCGCTGCGCCAAGGTCTGGCCAACCTTCCGAGCCCCCCCTAAGCCTCGAAGGGTTTAGGGTTTAGGGTTTAGGGTTTAGGGTTTAGGGTTTAGGGTTTAGGGTTTAGGTTTTAGGGTTTAGGGTTTAGGGTTTAAGGTTTAGGGTGTAGGCCTAGGTTTTAGGGTTTAGGGTTTAGGGTTTAAGTTTTAGGGTTTAGGGTTTAGGGTTTAAGGTTTAGGGTGTAGGCCTAGGTTTTAGGGTTTAGGGTTTAGGGTTTAGGGTTTAGGGTTCAGGGTTTAGGGTTTAGGGTTTAGGCTTTAGGGTTTAGGGCCAGGGTTTAGGGCTTAGGGTGTGTCAGGGGAGGGCGCGCTCTCGGGTGTGAAACACCCCGGGCCGCGCGCTCGCGTTGCCCGTCAACCCACCCCGGCCACCCAAACTATACTCTATTAGGGTTTAGGGTTTATGGACTTTTTCTTGTGTACCGATGCTTGTTTTTTGTAGTTGGTGTTGGGGTTTAAGCTGGAGTCGAGGCTAGCCTCGGCCGTTCGGACCTTCGGCGTGTCAGGGCCCGTAGAGGCCCTTTATTCATTTGAAGGTCAGTGAACCTATTTTTCGCTAGGGTTTAAGCTGGGGTTCGGGGTAGCCTCGGCCCTTTTCGGGCCTTCGGCACGTTAGGGCCCGTAGAGGCCCTTATTTGTTTGAAGGCCTTCGCAGGGTTTTGCGGTGTTAGGGTTTAAGCTGGGGTTCGTGGTAGCCTCGGCCCTTTTCGGGCCTTCGGCACGTCAGGGCCCGTAGAGGCCCTTGCTGATTTGGGGGTTTCCTGGGGCTTTCCTGGCCCTTTTGGGGTGAAATGGAGGGGTGCCCAAAACCATCGATTTCAGTACTACAAAATAACATTTTTCATTGCGGGCACGGGCAAATCCTGTCTCCTTCTTTCAGGGGGCCTTTTGAAGCCTCTTGAAGGCTTTTGAGGCCTTTCGAGGCCTTTTGGTGGCTCTCGGGGATTTCCTGGTGCTTTCCTGGCTCTTCTGCGACAAAATGCAGGGGTGCCTAACACCATCGTTTTCAATATTCAAAAATCGCATTTTTTATTGCGGGCATGGACGAATCTTGGGGTCCCCCCTCTTTTAGGGGGATTTTTGAAGGTTTTGAAGGTTTTGAAGGTTTTGGTGGCTCTTGGCGCTTCTTGGGGGGCCCAAAACCATCGATTCCAGTATTAAAAAAACATTTTCATTGCGGGTGCGGCCCGGGGGCCCTTGGCGTCCGGGGGCCTTGTGGCATTTTGGAGGCCCTTGTTTGAAGCGCCTTTGGCCCGGACCCTTGGCCTTAAAGTTGCGGTGTTAGGGTTTAAGCTGGGGTTGGGGCAGCCTCGGCCCTTTTCGGGCCTTCGGCGTGTCAGGGCCCGTACTTTTGTGCCTGCTCCTGGATTCCCCTTCTTTAAGGGCCTCAAGCCTTTTGGTGGCTCTTGGGGTCTTTTGGGGGCTTGCTGGGGGCTTTCCTGGCCCTTCCGGGGTAAAATGAAGGGGTGCCCAAAACCATCGATTTCAGTACCAAAAAATCGCATTTCTATTGCGGGTACGGGCATCCTGGGGTCCCCCTTCTTTTAGGGGGCCTTTTGATGGCTCTTGGTGCCTCTTGGGGGCCTGGTGGGGTAAATGGAGGGGTGCCCAAAACCATCGATTTCAGTACTAAAAAATAGCATTTTTCATTGCGGGTACGGGCAAATGCTGGGGAGATGCCCCCAGGGCCTCAGCTCGAAAATCCGTGAAAAACCCTGGTTTTGCCCCAAAATCACAACCAGCCTGCCCCCCTCGCCAGCCTCCTGGGCCAAGAATCCAGCCACCAGGGGCCAGGGGGCCCCGGGGGGGGGGGGGGGACCCTGAACCCAAAACCCTTCCACAACCAAAGGATTACGATTTGGGGTTATACTTTAGCTACGCTAAAGGTGGTCCGAGTACTGACGTTGTCGTAAAAAAGGCCGATGTCCGTTGGCCTGTCCAGGACAGACGGTGAGGCTAACCCTCACCTTTCCGTTTCTCTTTCGCTTGGGCGCTCGGGCTGTAAGGCCCTCGGCCAAGCGTTCGGGGTCTGTCGCTCGACGGAAGCGACCCCTCACTTAGTTAAGGGTTTAGGGTTTAGGGCTAGGGTTTAGGGCTTAGGGTTTAGGGTTTGGGGTTTGGGGTTCAGGGGTTTAGGGTTTAGTGGTTTAGTGGTTTAGTTTAGGGTTTCCCCCCCACCCCCCCACCCCCGCCGGAACCCTCAAAACCTTACAACACCCAGCCCTAAAGCAAACCCTAGGGCGTAGTGGCATGATCTCTTAGGAAGGGCCCTTACAAGGGGACCCCTTGTATGCCTCCGATGCCCAATTTCAGGGCCCAGACATCAGAACCCTCTAAAGGAGGTTGGGGACCACATCAAGGGCCCATGAAACTACGCCTCAGATCCTACCCCTAAACCCTAAACCCTAAACCCCTGAACCCTAAACCCTAAACCCTAAACCCTAAACCCCTGAACCCTAAACCCTAAACCCCTGAACCCTAAACCCCTGAACCCTAAACCCTAAACCCTAAACCCTAAGCCCTAAACCCCTGACGACTGCAACTGTGCAGCCGCCTCGGCTTTGGCCTCTCAAATCTTTGCGGTTAACTTTATGGCCCTATAGGCCCCCAGATCCTATGAGCCCCAACATCCACAAAAACCCTGAAGCCCAAAAAAGCCTGAACAGCCTGAATCCTGACAGCCCTGAAAACCTGCAAAACACTAGAAACCTGAAACCCTAACCCCCTAAACTCTAAACTGTCGATCTCGATCAAGCGGTCCCACCGTGTGTTTTTGCACCTTTCCACTCAGCCTCCTCAGCCTCTACATGCCCAGCATCCCCTAAACCCGACCACGAAACCCCAAGCCCCTCAACCCTAAACCCTAAACCCTAAGCCCCTCAACCCTAAACCCTAAGCCTCTCAACCCTAAACCCTAAACCCTAAACCCTAAACCCTAAACCCTAAACCCTAAACCCTAACCCCTAAACCCTAAACCCTAAACACCCCACCCCTGAGCAACTCCAAGCACCAAAAGGCGCCTTCACGAAGACCGGGCCCAGCTGGACCAAGCCGGCGCGCAGGGCCTCCCCGCGCTCCTCCTGAAGAGGGGTACTTGGTGAGGGTCCTACTGGGTTTGGGGTTTAGGAAGTAGGGTTTAGGGCTTGGGGTTTGGGGTTTAGGGTTGAGGGTTTAGGATTAGGATTAGGGTTCTCCAACGTGACCTGTCCAAAGAAGCCAGTGAAAGAGCAGATGGTCTCAAGGTTGCCATGGAGATTGCGTTGGAGCACCGCCGGCGACCCCGAAGAGAATGTTCCCCCTTGCGGCATTACGGGATCGGCTGACAATGGCCCATGGCCTTGAGCCAGTCTGCCTCCCCAGCATCACCATCGATCCTAAGATGGAGGACGGCCGCATTGTAGTTGAATGCCCCTATGCGTAGTGTCCTCCGCCATGAGGTCAGAGAGACGTTCTCGGGCGCGTCTTTCAGACTTAAGAATTGATGCCCGGATTCCAGCTGACAAGGCCCTGTGCCCAATGCCAGTTCAGGGGCTTGCCGGCTTCAGGAGTTTCGGGCTGATGGGGTTTAGGGCTTAGGAGACATAGAGGCCCAGCTAACTTGGCTGCTCTTAGCAGGGTAGCTACAAATTTAATTTTTAGCTGCCTTCTTAAGAAACCCAATAAACCCAAAAAGGCTAAAGATGTAAAGCTACAGTAAAGCACCACAAGAAAGAGTTTGTTGTGTAGGCTTGAGGGTGGGGTGTCTCGGCTGTTTAGGGTTTAGGGTCTAAGAGTTAGGGGCTGTGGTTTAGTATTTAGCTTTCTCCAAGTCTTCTGCCTTCGACATGGCCTTACAGTGCATGAAAGGGGGAAATATTTCTGCACCAGCGACAAGAAAATTCACGTGTTGAAGGATGGCATGTTCCGCACAGCGATATGCAGCGAACCCTAAACCCGAAACCCTGAGCCCACAAATAGCTGACTTAGGGCCCCAATTGCGTACTATTTTGGGGTACCCTAAACAAACCTAACCCATAAACCCAAAATTCCAGGTAATGAGCCAATGTGGGCTCATAGTTGTTGGGCGCTTTGGGCTTTTGGGCATATCTCTAAACGGGGTGCCGTTCTATACATAGCCTCCTTTTGCTTCTTCTTCGAGGGCTTCGGGTCCTTCTTCTTCGCAGCACCCACAACAACATCAGGCTCGCCGGCTGGCTGCTGGTCCTTCTTCTTTGTCCTGGCCACAGAAGGCTCGTCGGCAGGCTGCTGGTCCTTCTTCTTCGGCCTGGCCACAGCAGCCTCGGCAGGCTGCTGCGGCTTCTTCTTCTTCTTCGAACTGGACGAAGAAGGACGCAGGCCACCACGGCCGTCGTCCTCGTCATCGCAAGATAGGACACCCCAACAAAGGGACTTTGAGAACGACCCTTTGAACGGGGTTCAGGGTGTCGGGTTTAGGGTTTGCGGCTCCAGGATTTTGAGGGCTTAAGGGATCTGGGTCCGGCAGGGCGGGGAAGGGCAGGGTGCGAGGGTTTAGGGTTTAGGGTTTAGGGTTTAGGGTTTAGGGTTTAGGGTTTAGGGTGTAGGGTGTAGGGTGTAGGGTGTAGGGTGTAGGGTGTAGGGTGTAGGGTGTGGGGTGTAGGTTGTAGGGTTTAGGGTTTGGGTTGAGGGTTTTGGGCCTAAACCCTAAACCCGAAACCCGGCCCCTCGCCTGGCTCGCCGGAGAGTCCCACGCCTGGCCAGAAGGAGCTGTGGTTCAGGAATTGGGGCTTGCCTGGAGGTTTAGGGTTTAGGGTTTAGGGTTTAGGGTTTAGGGTTTAGGGTTTAGGGTTTAGGGTTTAGGGTTTAGGGTTTAGGGTTTAGGGTTTAGGGTTTAGGGTTTAGGGTTTAGGGTTTAGGGTTTAGGGTTTAGGGTTTAGGGGGAGGTTCATGAGTAGTTATAAGTGGGGTTGGAAGTAGGGCCAGGTAGGGTAACTGCAAGTAGGACTAGTTAAAAACCTTCTTCATAACCCTACGACAATCTGAAAACTACCCATGAACCTCCACGTAGGGTTTAGGGACCTCAATCATGGGCCCGAGTTTTGGGGGTGCCGATGTCTGCTAAGACCCTAAACCCTCAAACCCAGAACCCTGAACCCTGAACCCTAAACCCTCAGGCTCCTTATCGTATGGAGGGATCCAGGCAGCGCTCCGTTTGAACCCGAACATGTTGGTTTAGGGTTTAAGGTTTAGGGTTTAGGGTTCAGGGTTTAGGGTGTAGGGTTTAGGGTTTGGGTTTGGGGTTTGGGATTTGGGGTTTAGGGTTTGGAGTTTGGGGTTCCAAGTCTTGGAACCCTCGCAAGGATTGTGTTTTTCGCTGTTTCCAAGGAACTATAGCACCCAAAACACAAAAATCATTTCCAAGTATCCATAAGGTTGTACCTTGGACGCTTGGTCTGGTGCCCTTGGGTTTTGGGGAGCCTTTGTAAGGATCCTTAAGGTAGTTTAAGGCAGTTTAAGGGGCAGATTGGGAGTACATTCAGGGGAACCTTTAGGGGTACAACCTTCGGGGTACGAGTCTTAATCCCCTGACAGACATGACACAGCAACAACAAGAACCCTAAGGCTTTTGGGGGATTAAAGTTTCAAAACCCCTGTATCTTCAGGGTCAAGGGCACTGTGTTGCTGACTAAACCCTAAACCCTATAAACCCCACGCAAACCTAACTCAACCCTAAACTCTCACTCAGCAGTAGAACCTAAACCCTAGGCTCCCAAAACCCTAAACCCGAAACCCGAAACCCCGGTGAAACCGTAAAACCCAAAAGCCCTCAACTCCTGGGCTTCTCCAAGGGGCGTCTATAAGGGGAACCTAAAACCCCCAAAAAACGGGAATGGGGGTAATATAGGGGTCGGATGAATTACTACCAGTACCCCCGTATGGTCCCTTTCTAAACTTTACCACAACTTGGCTGCTCTTAGCAGGATAGCTATAAATTTAATTTTTAGCTGCCTTCTTAAGAAACCCAATAAACCCAAAAAGGCTAAAGATGTAAAGTTACAGTAAAGCACCACAAAGAATCACCCCCCCAAAAACCTATTCTAATGACTTAAGGCCCCTATTTTTCTACTGGGGGGGGCATGCTGAACCCCTAAACCCTAAACCCTAAACCCTAAACTCTAAACCCTAAACCCTAAACCCTAAACCCTAAACCCTAAACCCCAAAGCAGGCCTTCCGCACGTTCCAGAGAACCTCGCCCACCTCCCAGACCCTCCTCCGCCGGGGCGTGCGAGGCTCAAGGGTGGAGGCCAAACATCGGCCACATGTTCGGGTTTAGGGTTTAGGGTTTAGGGTTTAGGGTTTAGGGTTTAGGGTTTAGGGTTTAGGGTTTAGGGTTTAGGGTTTAGGGTTTAGGGTTTAGGGTTAGGGTTTAGGGTTTAGGGTTTAGGGTTTAGGGTTAGGGTTTAGGGTTTAGGGTTTAGGGTTTAGGGTTTGGGGTTTAGGGTTTAGGGTTTAGGGTTGAGGGTTGAGGGTTTAGGGTTTAGGGTTTAGGGTTTTCTGAGATATTTTCATTGTTTTCTAATTTTCTTGAATTCATGTCAACACACCAATTTGAAAGCATGTGATTCATATTTTGTGAGATTAGTGATTAGTGTTAAATCAATTGCAGATTGTTGTTTTGTTGTTTTATTTATATGTGTTGGCATACCATTATTTATTGGATTAAAATTAGGGTTTAGGGTTTAGGGCTTAGGACTTAGGGCTTAGGGTCTAGGATTTATGAAAATTTGGGGTTTACGAAAATAGGGACCCCCAACATAGACCCCAAATGGTAAGATTCCCTTATAATCAGGACCCCAACAAGGTACCCCCTATTTTTGGAAACCCCCCACATGAGCGTATCAGTGGATGAACATATGAGTGGATGCGCGGGTGCGCGGGGATGATGTGCAGGTGTGAAGGGCGGCGGGCGGGCGGCGGGCGGGCAGCGGGCGGGCGGCGCGGGCTGAATGGGCGGCGGGTGCAGGGACGTAGTGATGTGGGCAAAAACATCCCCGAAAAACAGCTCCAAGCCTCCCCCCCCCCAATCCCCGACGCCCGTGGGCCTGACCAACAGCAGCGGCCTCTGAGCGAAGAACTCGGTGACCTTCTCCTGCCGGGTTTCGGGTTCAGGGTTGAGGGTTTAAGGCTCAGGGGTTGGAGTTTGGCTGAACCCGAAGCCGAAACTTACAGGGTTTTGGCTTCAGGGTCTAGGGTTATAAGAATCGCATCTGGCCACAGCACAAAGGCCTCTTTAGATAATTATTTTTGCAGATTCATTGCAATTTTTTTGCAGACGTGGGGTTTCGTGATTTTGCAGAACGGGCCCCGGGGCCCCTGGAGCATTGCAGCTTTGGTTGCAGATTATTTGCAGGCCGGCGTGCAGATGTTTTGCAGACGGCCCGGCCGGGCAGAAAAAGACGCCACTCGGGTGTGTCAATGGGGTTTAGGGTAACAAAAAGACAAAAACACCAAAAGGAACAGAAACTAAACCGTCCACAAGCAATCTACAACAAACTCGCAAAAAAAACGCAAAAAGAAAACAACACCCAACACCGTCTGCAAAAAGTTTGCCAAAACATCGCAACCAATTTCGCCAAAAGTCTGCAGCCAAAGTCGCAAAGAACCTGCAACCCAATCTGCAATCCAAAAAACCGTTCGCAACAAATTTGCAGCCCAGCCCACAACAAATCTGCAAGCCAAAAACCAGCGGCCGCAAAAAAAAAATATTTGGGCCCCCTGGCTCTGTGGCCATCCACATCTCATAAGTCTAGGGCTTGGGGGATTATATTTCGGGCTTTCGGGTTTACAGGGTTTCCGGCTTATGGGGGTTAGGGGGTTTACAGGGTCTATTTTGACAGGGTTGACAGTGTTTAGTTTAGGGTTTAGGGTTTAGGGTTTAGGGTTTAGGGTTTAGGGTTTAGGGTTTAGGGTTTAGGGTTTAGGGTTTAGGGTTTAGGGTTTAGGGTTTAGGGTTTAGGGTTTAGGGTTTATAGGGTTTAGGGTTTAGGGTTTCGGGTTTAGGGTTTAGAGGCTAAGGGCTTCCCCAGGAAAGCGACCCCAAAGCAGAAAGAGATTCACCAAGCGCATCGCAGCTCTTCGCTCACCTCTCGTGCCTCCATACCAGCAGGCCCAAGTCTACACGTCTGCACCAGCCACCTCACCCTCCTTCACCTTACCCTCCTTCACCTTATTACTATTATTATTATTATTTTAGTAGTAGACCCGCAAGCCTAAATCCTAGACCCTGAGCCCTAAACCCTGAACCCTAAACCCTCTACCCTAACCCCTCTCAACCATGAAGCAGCACGCGCGTCCCGCGAGAAGCCGCCCTGGAGCAAGTCGTCGAACTCTTTCTGCTTGGGGTCGTTTTCCTGGGGAAACCCTAAGCCCTAAGCCCTAAGCCCTAAGCCCTAAGCCAGGAAGCCTTAAGCCCGGAACCCTAAGCCCTAGACCCTAAGCCCGGAACCCTCAGCCCTCAACCCGAAGTCCTGAACCCTAAGCCCTAAACCCTAAGCCCTAAGCCCTAAACGCTAAACTCTAAGCTCTAAGCCCTAAGCCCTAAACGCTAAACTCTAAGCTCTAAGCCCTAAGCCCTAAACGCTAAACTCTAAGCTCTAAGCCCTAAGCCCTAAACCATCTCTCCAGGGTCAGGCTGCTGCTTTAACAGACTTTAGGATTCGAATGTCCCGGCAACTCGCTGTCCCTAAAGGCATGACAAAGGTTAAGGGCTTAGGGCTTAGGGTCGCAACTACCGCTATGTCCTGGTATAACCCATCAACACCTAGGTGGAGAGACCCCAGCCCTAAATCCCGTTAGACCCTAAAGCCCTCAAACCCTACAATCCCTAAACCCCATTTACCCTATACCCTAAGTCTAAGTCCCTAACCCATGTAAGGGCTGGGAGCCAGAAAAACCGGCAGCCGATTTCACTAGCAACTGCCCAGGGAAACCAGCAAATGGAGCTACAGCCGCACCAGTTTAGGGTTTAGGGTTTAGGGTTTCGGGCTTTGGGTCTAGAAGCTTTTTTAGGTTTTGGGGCTTCAGGTTTTGAGGAGGAGTTTAGGGTTTAGGGCTTAGGGCTTTTAGGATTTATGGTCTAGGGTTTGGGAGCTTCGGGCTTAGGGGTTTTGAGGGTTTAGGGTTTAGGATTTAGGGTTTAGGGTTTAGGATTTAGGGTTTAGGGTTTAGGGTTTAGGGATACCCAACGAAGACCCCAGATGTAGTAGGATCCGAGGCTCCTATGTTATGCCCTACATCTCAAACGAGATCTGCTTCTCTAAAGACTGAACACCTGGCTTCTGGAGCTCTTTCAAGCCAGCTCAGTCAGCTGAAAAGTCTTTCTGCAATTGGCAATGGAACTCTTAAGCAACCTTCAGTAAAATTTTAGGTTCCTGGGCAGCCGAATTCTTACAATGTCACCCCTTCATTATTCTCATCCGACCCCCTCTAGATGGCTTTGCCTACCGACATCAGCCCGAAACCTATATATGTGATTTTAGCTGCCTTCTTAAGAAACCCAGCAAACCAAAAAAGCTAAAGATGTAAAGCTACAGTAAAGCACCCACAAAGCTATAAATGTCACGCACACGGTTAGGGCTTTGGGCTTTGGGCTTTGGGCTTAGGGCTTAGGGTTTAGGGCCTAGGGCTTGGAGTTTCTTTGGGGCCCAGGCTACGGCTTCGACGGTCGCCGTCGTGGCCTGAGGCAGGGGGGCCACAAGAAGTCCAAGGACGAACCCCAAAACCCTAAACCCTCCACCCTAAACCCTAACCTCTAAACCCTCGACCCTAAACCGTAAACCCTGAGCTCTGAAACCCAAAACCCTCCACTTCATACCCTGAACCCTAAGCCCTTAAACCCGCCACTCTAAACCCTAGACCCTAAACCCCCACTCCAAACCCTAAATCCTCGACCCTTACGGTGTAACGGAATTCAACAGGTCCGAGGATTAGGGCTTAGGGTCTTTATAAGGTCCATCTTCTCTTCTTTCGGCGAGCTCTGCGCACCACATTGCGCCTGACTTCCTTGCCGACAGCTAGACGCCCTAAATCTTACGTAAGTAGCTATGAAACCCTTCATCCCAAACTGCTATACCTTAAGCCCTAAACCCTAAACATAAAACCCTAAACCCTAAACCCTAAACACGTTACGGGGGAGGCTTTCAAAGAGGCCTTACACCCTAAACCCGAAACCCTAAAAAACCCTAACCCCTAAACCCCAGGCCCTAAACCGCAGCCGTCGTGGGCCTCGCCGAACCCCACGGCTTCGAGGGCGCACCTTTTGGGTTCAAGTCGTAGGTTTTAGGGTTTAGGGTTTAGGGTTTAGGGTTTAGAGTTTAGGGTTGAGGGTTCAGGGTTTGACGGCTCCAGGGGGTTTGGGGTCTAGGGTTTTGCGCAGAGCCTTGGTGCCTCCAGGACTCCAGGGTCTGGGGGGTGCTGGGGCTTTGAGATTTGGGGTTTTAGGGTTTTAGGGTTTTGGGGTTTTAGGGTTTTTAGGGTTTTTTAGGGTTTTTAGGGTTTTTGGGTTTTAGGGTTTTTTTAGGGTTTCTAGGGTTTTAGAGGGTTTTTAGGGTTTTTAGGGTTTTAGGGTTTTTAGGGTGTTTAGGGTTTTTAGGGTTTTTAGGGTTTTAGGGTTTTTAGGGGTTTTAGGGGTTTTAGGGTTTTAGGGTTTTAGGGTTTAGGGCTTAGGGCTTAGGGTTTAGGGTATAGTATTGGGTATAAGGTTTATGGCTTTGCGGAACGTAAAGAGCCGGCAAACCAAGCCACTCAGGGCTCTAGGAATGTTACCCTGAAATTTTTGCATCCCAATCCTGGAAGGCCTAAAGCCGAAACCCTAAACCTAAACCCTAAACCCTAGCTACACGCCTTGCACACAAATGACGGCGCAGACCACTATGTCCAAGGTCCGTTCTATGTTTTGCGGCTCCTTGAAGGTTCATGGGTAGTTATAGGTAAGTAGGGTCATTAGTACCCTAAGGGTAAAACCAATTATAACTATAGTTACCCCACTTTTAACCTTGCTGAAACTCATGAACCTTCAAGTGGGGTCTAGAAATTGTGGGATCCTGGCTGTCGGGTGCTGTTGCCCTTTACTAGGGGCACAGTACAAAGGTTATAAACCCCAAAACCCCAAAAGCCTTAATCCCCAAACCCTAAAACCACCCCCCAATAAAGCAACCCCTAAACCAAACAAAACCCTAAACCCTTAAACCCCGCCTCCTTGACCGGAGGAGCTCACTGGTCCATCCTTCAGCCGGTTTAGGGTTCGGCTGCTGGGGGCTTGGGGCTTTTGTGTATTTGGGGGGTTTAGGGTTTGGGGTTTGGGTGTTTTTGGACTTGGGGGTTTGGGGTATTTGGGGGCTAAGGGTTTGGGCGATTTTTGGGTTACTGTTTGGGGCTTGAGGTTTAGGGTTTGGGGCTCAGGGGCCAGTCAGGTTCTCAATGTCGACCCCCAAAGAAAAGAGAGGTCGTAGGACCCCCAAAACAGGAATCCCCATTCTAGGACATACGGTTCATCCATGTGCAACATCAGACAGCAGGGCCGTTGCAGTCAGCTAGCATAGAGGTCGGAATAATTACTCTGAGTATTTC